TAAGTAGTTTTGAAAATGTTAGCCACTATATCTTTGAAAGACAGTGACTGTGTTTTGTTTTGTTTTGTTTAGTTTTTTAATATTTTATTTATTTTTAGAGAGAGGGGAAGGGAAGGAGAAAGAGTGGGAGAGAAACATCAATGTATGGTTGCCCCCTATGTGTCCCCCGCTGGGAACTGGTCCGCAACCCAGGCATGTGCCCTGACTGGGAATTGAACCTCGATACTTTGGTTCACAGGCCCACACTCAATCCACTGAGCTATGCCAGCCAGGGTGTGACTGTGTTTTTTAAAAAAAAAAAGTTTAAATTGCTTTAGAAAATACTGTGAGGTTTTAAGTCAAATTACATTTCAGCAAGATTAATACTGATAAACTTTGTAGTTTCAGTTCCTGATGAAGTTTGTAGCTTCAGATGAATCTTTGTAGATTCATACTGATGTAGCTTTGTAGCTTCTGCGTGAGTGTAAGATGTGTATAAATACTCTTTGACTTAACCTTTTCCATTGTAAATTAACATTTGGATTAGAAAGTTAATGTACAATATTAAATGAATAATCTTACAAATGGAAGGGACATCAGTAGTCAGCCTAGCCTTTTTTGAAGTTGTGACAGGCCTTATCCACATTCCTTACAGAAACTCTGTCCCTTTTAAATTCAGATTTTTAGTGTCCCAGAGTCAACATTGCATTCGTTGTGCATCTTGAAAATAGCTATTAGTCCTTCCTCTCTCTTCCATTTTCTATTTTGTTTGCTTCCAGTTTTTGTTCTCATCACTGCTGCTTTCTGATAAGTAGTGTTTTCTTTTTTTCCCCTTTCTTTTTATTCTGCCTATATTTGCCTCTTCTTTTTTTCTGGCTTCCAAATCCAGAGAATTGAACTTTTATTTTTTCTTTGGTCAGTTTGACAAATTAACATACTCAGCTACCTGTTTAGTGTTACAATTATCTTAATTCAATGAGCTCTTTATCTTCCATATCTTTCATTACAGTTTAATGAGGCCATCTGGTTTATGAATATTCTCTACAGAATATTCAAGTGATTCTTTTCATTTTCTCATTAAAATCTCTATGAGAAGAGTGGAACTCACTATTCACCTGGGTGGCACCTATTCCAAGCTTGGACCATTTATACAAGTTTTCTCATCATATCTGCCTGCCTCTTGCTGAACTTAACTAATCTTGTCTTCTGGAGTCATTCATGCACAGTTTTTCTATCCTTGTGACAGTTTATAATTTTCTTATCATTCTTGCTTTTTTTCCTGGATACTCTCCAGTTTGAAAGTATCCTATCTTGACTGTCTTGGTACATTTAAAAAACAACAACAATACACTGTAGATTTGGTGTCTTATGCCCAGTGTAGAACAGAATCATTTTCTTTAACTTCCTTCCTAATTTTATTAATATCTTGAGATCACATCCTTTTTAGTAGATGTATGACTCAGAGAAAATGTAAGAAGGGTAGTACAGGTCAGATTGTCTAGTTGGAATTGTATCTTCACAAGTTAACTGTGGTTTTAAATGGTGCATTATACTGCCTTTTATATGATAGAGATCATTGTAGTTTCTGCCTCATAGGTAAAGTTATGGAAGGGTCAAATTAAATCCATTAAAATGCTTAATTAAAGTGTCAAAAAATGTCGTGTTTGTTATTGAAATAATGTTATGATTATTTTCCTGATTCGTGTTTTGCATTACAAACCAATCCAAACATAGTGACTAAAACAGTGATGTATTCTTGTGATTCTGGGCTTGCCTAGAATCTGTTGGCCGTTCTTCACATAGTATTGGTTGTGGTCACTCATTGCTCTGCATTCACCTGGGGCTGAAACAACCAAGTGGCTTTACTTGATAACATCTACCATGACTGGAACTGACTTTGGTCTCTCTCTCCGGCAGAGTACCAGTAATTTGATTTTTTGTATGCTGGCTCAGCTGTCCCAAAGAGGGGAAGTTGCCAGTCCTCTTAAGGGTTAGGCCCAGAACTGGAACTGCAGTCACTTTTGTTTGTCAAAGCAAGTCAACAAAGTAAGCCCCCATCTCTGGGGAAAAGAAATAAATTCTACCTCTTGACAGGAGGAGGCATGGCATTATTACAAGTACGTGACCAGGTCGACAAGGGAAGTGGTGGATGCCATCTTTGGAGACAGCCTACCACAATTCTTTTTTCATACTTAGCCCTCTGAACCAACGTGTTAGTCCCTTCAATCTTGAATCCAGTCTTTATTGTTTTTATTTCTCAAGCCGTAATAGTTCTTAGCTTTATGTAATTGGAAGATTTGATTGATAGAAGTATGCCGTTTACCCTCTCTCAACTTCTTTTATTTTTAACAGTTTAATTGATGTATAATTGATATACAAGAACTATACACATTTAATATATACAATTCGATGAGTTTATTGTCTCAGTTTTTTTAAGAAAAGTATTTTCCACTTACAGTTTGCATTGAGTATTATTTTGTATTGGTTTCGGGTGTATGGGGTAGTGATTTGGAAGTCTCACTCTACAAAGTGACATCCCCTCCCTCCAGCCTCCCCATCCCTGGTCAACTTACTACAGTGAGCATTTCAACCAGAAACATTTGCCATGATTGATACTTGGTCCTTTTGCCCATAATTAGGCCAGTGTGCAGCCTAACTATTGTTACCTCAACCTTCTGGGTTAATAGATTTAAAGTTGTTTTTGTTGCCATTATTCTTCTAATCAGATGTAATAGCTAATTTAGTGTTCACCTAAGGGGGGGAGATGTACTTAACTGCTATTTTAAAAATACTCTGTGTGAGTTTACCTTTATATAAAACAACATTTTTAGGGGTACAACATTTACTACTCATAAAAGATGGATTGCTAATTCTCATAACATTAATTGGCACCATTTCTAAATACCTTTACAAGTTTTCTGATGTACACTTTAAAGTTTTACATCTTTTAAATGATTTGACCCTTAACCACCTGCATGTTTGGTGGCCTGCATCTTTACACATACAGGGTGGGTTGATGTAATTGAAAAGTGAAGGACATGACTAAGTAGTATTATTCTTAGTTTCGGTTGTCTTCCCTGCTAGACCACTTATCCACAAACTAGAGACTACCTTGCTCACCATTATTTTCTCAGTGCCTAGCACAGTGGCATTTAGTATTTGGAGAATAAATGAATATACAAAATGTTGAAGCTGTAAAATACGAATAGGAATGCCTGGGTAGAGAATGGATTTCATGGCTGGGCTTAGCTATTATTAGTTGTTTTATTTGAAAATATAACCACTATTGTAATATCTTAAATATTTGTACTGAGCCAGAGAGCAGTTCACAATCGAAATGTATATGAAGACTTCTTTAAATTTCTGTATCTTTTCCCATTACTTAATTTGAAGTTATTTTTGGATTCTAATGAATCACATTACATTGTTTCTTTGTTACACTTTATAATTGAATTTTTAGCTTAGCCAATCAAAAAAGAATTTGCCCTTAAAAGTGTGGAGTTGCCACAGTTTAAAGTTAGAGTGATTCCAAAACCACTGTGCTATACCACTCCCATAGTCGAGTGAATAATGTTAGTTACCTTTAAAGGGCCTGCTAGTTTGTTTAAGTGAAAAAAATCTGCTTATTGTATTAAATGGAACTATCTTCTGTTGTTCAAGGCAGATCCCCAAAGAGCATGTTCAGAGGTCAAAATACTCTTCAGCTAAGAGGTCTTTGAATATGAAGGCACTAGTCAGAGTGCTTGTCTGGTTTCAGACCAGTAGTTTTAAATACTGGTTAATCACAGGAGACATTTCAGGTTGACCTTTGTCACCTTCGTTTTCTTTTTTATAATACACTGCAGCTTAGTCCTACTGCCAGCTTGGCCACTACTCACTTCGTCTGGGTGTCTGTAGCTTACTTACCTTATACACAGGAGGGAGAAGGTGAATTAAAGCCTATTCACGCACTCACCACTGCAACAAAGCAATGGGCTAAACACAAAGTTAGAGTTATTTAAAAAGCATTTTATATTATATTGCATATTAAGAGTAAGTACCAGAAAAACAGAAGCCAAGAATTTTCAGTACCTTTTTTCCTTGTAAAATTGACTTGTTTGGTCTGAGCCCAGTTGAGGATTGACTTTCACCTCGATTCTGAAAGCATAGTTAGTAAGGGGGAATGAGTGGTGAGAGTCTTCTGTTTTGTTTAAACATTTTTCTAATTCTACAAATGGAATTATATTTTCCCTTTAAGAGAAAAGAATCGCTATTTTATTATTTCTCACCCTAATATGATTATCTCATTATCCTTAAATCAATTATAGAATATACCTACTGGTATGTTAGGATTAAAATTAGTTTAGATTGTTTTTCAGTTAGAAGTTTTATCTGTTAGAATTGATTCATAAACATGTATCTTATAGCTAAGAATCCCTTAAATGAAATTAAAGGTTTACTCTTCAGAACTATAATTTTCAAAATTCGGCTGTCGTCTTAGTTAAGAAAAGTAAAACTTTTACTTTGAAGATCTTTACCTGTTGTGAGGTGTTCCTTGAATTGTGTTACAAATGAAGTTAATTTTATTGTTTTCTCTGTAATGGATTTTGGTGGTTTCTGTTAGTTTCTGCTTAAGTCATACTCCTCTAGAGTCCCAAGAGATTAATCTCATGTTTTTTCCTTTCTAACGTTATGACAACTTTGAAAATGGAGAGCTTGTCAGCTTGTTAGAAAATATGAACTATTATTGAAGCATGAAGTCTATATTGGCATGTAAATACATTGCACTATGGGAGGGGGGTAATACTCAAATGTTTGAAACTTGAGTAATAAACTGAATACACCTCAAATTTTAGGTGTTGCTGTCTAAAGCATTCTGCTTTTAAGCCACAAATTCATGAGTCTGCTGCATTCAACTACTGTATTACTGGCGATGACTATATTAAAAATATATGACTTTAGCTATTATACTCTTACGAAATGCAGGTTCTTTTCGTTTGGTGAGTGTTTTATTCTTATTATGACTTTCTTTTCTTCCCAAGTCTCTCTTGGAAAAGTTCTTGATTCCCAATGCTTCACAAGCAGAGAGCAAAGTCTTCTATTTGAAAATGAAAGGAGACTACTACCGCTACTTGGCTGAGGTTGCTGCTGGGGACGACAAGAAAGGTATGCTGTGTTTCTAACCTGTTTGTTGAACTTGTATAATAACATTATGGAGGTGGTCTCTTTCTGAAGTATATGCAGGGGTTTTTTGTTGTGGCTTTTTTATTTTTAAAGATATTGTTTATATTTTTTAGAGAGGGGAAAGGATAGAGAAGGACAGGGAGAGAAACATCAGTGTGCGAGAGACACATCAATTGGTTGCTGCTTACATGCCCCCCACTGGGGACCTGGCCTGAGACCCAGGCATGTGCCCTGGCTGGGAAGTGAATGAGCAAATTTTTGGTTCACAGGCATGTACTCAATCCACTGAGTCACATCAGGCAGGGCTTTTTTGTTGCTTTTTAATTGCTCAGAGCACTAAATGAAGAACAGTATGCACTTTCTCTCTCTCCCCCCTCTTTTTTTTTTAAGTCCTGAGGCTGTATATTTGCTGCCTAATATTGGTATCCTAAAGTATATGCTTGCAGAAAAGCCAATTGTGTATATGAATGTTTTATCATAATTTTAAGAATCAACGGTCAGTGTACAGCAGTGCAAATTGATAAAAGATAATACTGAGATGATTATAGAGTCATCTTTTTTCAAATATGTCTTATTATGTTATTACAGTTCCATTTTCCCCCTTTACTCCCCTCTGCCCTGTACATTCCCTCCCACCCACATTCTCCCCCCACCTTTATTTCATGTCCATGGGTTTGTACATATAAATTCTTTGGCTTCTACATTTCCTATACTATTCTTACCCTCCTCTTTTCTATTTTCCACCTACCATCTATGCTACTACTCTCTACCTTCCCCCCCCCCCCCCCCCAAGTTCCCCTGTTGCTAACCCTCCATGTGATCTCCATTTCTGTTCCTGTTCTAGCTGTCTGCTTGGTTTGCTTTTGTTTTAGGTGTGGTTCTTAATAACTGTGAGTTTGCTGTCATCTTACTGTTCATCTTTTTTATCTTCTTTTTCTTAGATAAATCCCTTTAACATTTCATATAATAAGGGCTTGGTGACAGTGAACTCCTTGAACTTGACCTTATCTGAGAAGCACTTTATCTGCCCTTCCATTCTAAATGTAAGCTTTGATGGATAGAGCAATCTTGAATGTAGGTCCTTCCCTATCGTGACTTGGAATATTTTTTCCAGCCCCTTGTTGCCTGTAAGGTCTCTTTTGAGAAATCAGCTGATAGTCTTATGGGAACTCTTTTGTAGGTAACTGTCTCCTTTTCTCTTGCTGCTTCTAGGATTCTCTCCTTAATTTTAATTTTGGGTGTTGTAATTATGATGTGCCTTGGTATGTCCAACACCAAGGTCCTTGGGTCCAACTTCTTTGGGACTTTCTGAGGTTCCTGGACTTCCAGGAAGTCTATTTCCTTTGCCAGATTGGGGAAGTTTTCCTTTATTATTTGTTCAAATAACTTTTCCACTTGGTGCTCTTCCTCTTCTTCTGATACCCCTATAATTCAGATGTTCGAACATTTAAAGATGTCCTGGAGGTTCCTAAGCCTCTCTTCGTTTTTTAAAAATTAGTGTTTCTTCATTCTTTTCTGGTTGAATATTTCTTTTTTCCTTCTGGTGGTCCATACCTTTGATTTGAGTCCCAGTTTCCTTCCTGTCACTATTGGTTCCCTGTACATTTTCCTTTATTTCACTTAGCGGCGTGGCCTTCATTTTTTCATCTAATATGCAACCAAATTCGAACCAATTCTGTGAGCATTCTGTTTACCAGTGTTTTGAACTGTGCATCTGACAGGTTGGCTCTCTCTTTATTGCTTAGTTGTATTTTTTCTGGAGCTTTGATCTGTTCTTATATTTGGGCCATTCTTTTTTGTCTCCACATGCCTTTTACGTAGTGAGAGGGAAGGAGCCTTAGGTATTATTCACCTGGGCGGGGTAACCCATGTTGCTTTGTTGTGACACTGGGGAAGGGGTCCAAGAAGGAACAATGATAGATTCCCTTTTTCCTTGACATTGACCAATAGCTAGTATGGTGGTCTGAAAGAAACTTATTTTTTAAATTTTTAAATTAAAGAACTTCATTCAGTTAAGGTTGCTAAAGCTTAATATTTTGTAGGAGGATATCACTGGATGTTAAAGGTTTGGCTTGAGAGATGAAAGTGAAGTGCACGTTTTATCAGTACATTTTGATGTGTTTTATTATCCAGGGATTGTGGATCAGTCACAACAAGCGTACCAAGAAGCTTTTGAAATCAGCAAAAAGGAAATGCAGCCAACACATCCTATCAGATTGGGTCTGGCCCTTAACTTCTCTGTGTTCTATTATGAGATTCTGAACTCCCCGGAGAAAGCCTGCTCTCTTGCAAAGACAGTATGTATTTTACCTGTTATATGGAAATATAGTGATCTTCATTATTTGGGCACTGAAATGTACTTTTTTCAATCATAGGCTTTTGATGAAGCCATTGCTGAACTTGATACATTAAGTGAAGAGTCATACAAAGACAGCACGCTAATAATGCAATTACTGAGAGACAACTTGACAGTAAGTACATAATAGCATCACTAATGGTTAATCTGGTTGAAGAGGTGTTACTGTATAGATTACTACAAGGAATATTGTTGGTCTTTTTGTTTCTTTGTTTAAATTAAATATCCTATCTGCTATTAAGACTGGCGGGGAAAAAAAAAACAACTTACATACAGAAACTGAAATATTAGACCAAGAACTAAAAATTTACAGTTTCATTAAATTTACAGTTTCAGTAACTTAAATATATATTGTTAAAATAATTTTGTATGGGTTTGATTCCCAGTAAGGGTACATACCTAAGTGCAGATTTGATCCCTGGTACAGGAAATAGCCAGTCGGTGTTTCTCTTTAAAAATTAATAAACATGCCCGCAAGTGAAGACTAATAATAATAAATAAAAATAATTTTGTAATTCATGGTTTTCAACTTTTAAACCTGTAGGCCATTTTATTTTCTGTTCCAGTCTAGGTGGTTCTTCTCCCCACCCCACCCCCATTTTAGTCACAGAAGAGTTTGACTTTTAGCATCAGTAAATGTACTGAAGTTCTAGTTTTCTTGACTGTAAATAACCTCCATATTTATATAGCTATGGTAGGGGGTTAATAACTTCACTTTCAAAATTTAAGGTACTCTGAAGAATCCAGATAGAAATCTATTTTGTCTAGTCTCTTTAAAAAAGGTCTTAATTGTCTGTGGTATACTCCAGATGAAAAAAGGACCACATTGCTATTATCTCACTGAATTGACAGTAGTTCCTTAATTACGTCAAATGTCTCAATAGTGTTCAAATTGAAGTTATCTCTATTTTTCATAAAGTCTACACATCGCAGTTTGTTGATGGATTTCTTTGGTCCCATGGGTTTTCCCATTCTCCTTCAGATAAATATTAAATTTAAATTAAAGTTTGGTGGAAAAGTTATCAAGTATCTGCTGTGTGCCAGGTGTAAATGGCTAGGAACGGAGATTATATCGTGTAGGGCTACTGGTTTGTATTCGCTTTTTTAATAGTTTTTGGTATTTTCCTTGTTTGAAGTGGTAAGATAATTGTCATTCTAAAAGAAAAGTTAGAACCTGAGACCTGGTTACTATGTTGTATTATCATCACTTTTTGAGAGGGCCTGATCTGAAGTATACTTTCAGTTGACTTTAGGAATCAGTATAGCATAAAGAACATTTTGTAACAAATGAGTGAGAAGAAGACTTAAGGTTCTGAGTCTGTCTGTACTTACTGTGTGTCTTCTGTGAGCGATGGCAGTACCATCTCTTACCACCACAGGTTGATTTGATCTGTCATCTGTCAAGTAAGGAATTTTTTCCGAAACCCCCTAGTACTTGAGTTGGGATCTGATTGACCAGATATTGTCAACATGAACTCTAGGAAGAATATCTTGCATCAGATTTTTTCGTGCTCATAGATAAAAATAATCTCCTTGAAGGTTATACCTGGAAAGATACTAGAAGACAATTTCATTTTATCTTACAAAAATTCCCTCTTTAATGGGAGCACACAGGTTTTCAGAAGTCAGTTAACTAACTGAGTGACCTTGGAAGAAGTTTCATTCTCAGGCCAGACATACATTTAATTAATAAAACCAATGAGTGATTTGGGAGCTAGAAGAATATTGAGATTTTTCCCCACTTAGTTTTTCAGTGTATAAGCAATATAAAATTTAAAGTCATCTTGAATTAATTTTTATAATTACCTCTAAAATTATATAATGACAAGGCTTATAAAACATTAATATTTGAAGCAGCTTAAATAATTTTTTACCCTGCTGGAAAATCTGTAACATTAATGAAAAATTAATCAAATCCATAATTCTACCACTATGAGACCAGTTTTTACCTCTTAGAAGATTTGGTTCTGATCATACTGGTTTGTGTTCAACTTTATTTTAAATCAAATTCATAAAATATATTTTTCTAAGTGTAAATTATTAGAAAAGCTAAATTTGTATTTTAGTTCATTATCCTGGTTCTTGAATTTCATGAAGTGTGGGACTCGCTTTGGAGTGGGAGTCTGCATTCTCCAGGGGAAGCATTCTGGTTTCATTGCACTAGGCTCTTACATCCGTCTCTCAGGACGGTCGTCTGTTCTGATAACTCCTGTTTTCTCTTTACTTTCTATGAATAACCAAGAGTTTCCCATATTTGATTTTGTTATTTGAAGACATCTCTGCTTACCATACTTACAAAATAATTAGGGAGCAAATAAACGTATTATATTGAGGTATTTGTATCTTGAAATTATCTTAAATACTGCTTTTTTTTTTTTTTTTTTAAATTTAAAGAAACCTAAACAAAAACCATGATTGCATTCTGGTACCTTGGCATAATTATTCCGGTGGGTTCCCCCCCGCCAAAAAAAAACTGAAAACATGCTGAAAAATTATTTCTTCTTCTCTCCCCCCCCCCTTCCTTTTTTTTAACCAGTTGTGGACATCGGATACCCAAGGAGATGAAGCTGAAGCAGGAGAAGGAGGAGAAAATTAACCGGCCTTCAGACTTTTGTCTGCCTCATTTTCAATTTACACAGTAGACCATTGTCATCCATGCTGTCCCACAAATAGTTCTTTGTTTACGATTTATGACAGGTTTATGTTACTTCTATTTGAATTTCTATATTTCCCATGTGGTTTTTATGTTTAATATTAGGGGAGTAGAGCCAGTTAATATTTAGGGAGTTATGTTTTCATCTTGAGGTGGCCAATATGGGGATGTGGAATTTTTATACAAGTTATAAATGTTTGGCGTAGTACTTTTGGTACATTGTGGCTTCACAAGAGCCAGTGCTAAAATTGCTTCCATGTTATCTAAGCAAAGAAAACTGCCTACATATTGGTTTGTCCTGGTGGGGAATAAAAGGGATCATTGGTTCCAGTCACAGGTGTAGTTGTTGTGGGTACTTCAAAGTTCTGGAGCACTTAGAGGGCTGTAGTAGAAATGGCTGCCCCACAGGTGATGCGTGTGGACCATGTGCGTACCTGTGGGGTACTCGGTCTCTGTGTGCACGCCTTCAACTACAGCTGCAGGACTGTTCCTTAGTTGTGACCCAGCTTACTCTGGATAAGGGCAGAAACGGTTCACATTCCATTGTTTGTAAAGTTACCTGCTGTTTGCTTTCATTATTTTTGCTACACTCATTTTATTTGTATTTAAATGTTTTAGGCAACCGAAGAACAAATGTACAAGTAAAGATGCAGTAAAATTAATTGCTTGGTATTCATTACTGTGTGTGTATCAAGCATAGCAGTAAAACAAACAAAAACCCATGTATTTAACTTTTTTTAGGTTTTTTTGTTTTGTTGGTTTTTTTTCTTTTTTGGGGGGGTGTTTGTTTTTTTGTTTTGTTTTGTTTTTTGGTTTTTTGATACTTGCCTAACATGCATGTGCTGTAAAAATAGTTAACAGGGAAATAACTTGAGATGATGGCTAGCTTTGTTAATGTCTTATGAAATTTTCATGAACAATCTAAGCATAATTGTTAAGAACACGTGTATTAAGTTCATGTAAGTGGAATAAAAGTTTTATGAATGGACTTTTCAACTACTTCTCTACAGCTTTTCATGTAAATTAGTCTTTTGGTTCTAAAACTTCTCTCAAGGAAATTGTACATTTTTGGAAATTTATTCCTTATTCCCTCTTGGCAGCTAGTGGGCTTTACCAAGTTTGAGTACAAAGTTTATCGTGACAACAAAATACTACTAGAACTACTGTCCCCAACCATGTCCCGTGCTCCCTTCCCCCGCCCCACAACCCCCTGAGGGAAAAGAGAGTTTTGGGGTTTTTGTTTTGTTTTTAAGAGGCGGGGTTGACTGGGGGAAAAAGGTAATGTGTTTGTTCCATTTAAAATTTTAGTACATGGCTTTTTGTAGCTTTGGAAGTCACAATGTTCTTGGCCCATCGTGACATTGGGTAGTGTTAACTGTAAGTTTTGTGCTTCCAAATCACTTTTGTTTCTAAGAAGTTCTTGATACTCTTACAGCCCGCCTTTCTATTTGTTGGGTGCACAGGATTACCTTTTTTTAGCCTTTTGTCTCGTCAGCACCCATCCCTACATGGTGGCTGTGTACTTGGGGGAAAGGCCGCATGATCTTTCTGGCTCCGCTCAGTGTCCAAGGACACCCTGCTTCCTTCGCTTGCACCCCACGCACTATTTCCCTCGCCCTCCTCACTGCAGCAGGTCTCCTTCGTTGATGAGGTGGTTTTACCTCCTTGTAAAACTGCCACCCTGAAAGGTCTGTCATTGGCTGCTTTAAAATCCTCCTCCTTCCTCTCTTCTTTTAATAACGGCGCTAAGTTATACTCAAAGCTCACCCTACAGACTATTTCTTCAGTACCGTGGAAAACACCAAACAAAAATACCATTTTAAAAGAGGTGTATTTTTTGTTTGTTTTAGAATGTAAGCTCCTCAAGAGCAGGGACAATGTTTTCTTGTATGTTCTATTGTGCCTAGTACACTGTAAATGCTCAATAAATCATTGATGATGGGAGGCAGTGAGTCTTGGTAATAAGGGTGAGAAACCAAAATCCCAAATATTATTCTATTGCTTGTTTTATTACAACCTCAGATTAACTGGGAAATATCAGCCCTTTAGGACAATTGTCTCAAATATTACATTCAAATAAAAGTGCAATGGAAGCCTTGGGGCCCTCCTTTTCAAGGAGAAAATAACTCGTGCATTTGGGACAACATCATAATACATCTTCACTTGCAGCTCTTTTTTCTTACTGATTTCTTCTGACCCCCAAGGACATGAAATAACCCATAGTTTAGGAGAAGTAAGCGAAACTGAGGAGATGGATCTTGTTAAGTAAATGATAAGTAAAATCCGAACCTTGTCACGTTCGCCTATTTTATGTGTGTCAGTCATCTATTAAACTAGTTTGATTCTGAAATAAATTGTGATAATGCTTCATAATAGGTGTTCACATGTTTCTACGTAGTAGTTCCCAATAGATGATTCCAACCTGGGATTTTTTTTTTGCCTTGGATTTGAAAAATAAAATTTTTGTAATTTATTTCTTTAATTGTCCCAAATTCAGGCTTCATGTCTGTTTTTGTCAATATAACATGTAGCTTTAGGAGTTTGGGGGATTTGACAATATGTATGTGTGTGTGTAGTATTGGAATTGTTAAGAAGTGCACATGTATACTCACTTGAGAGTTGTCCTTTGAGAGTAGAGCAGCAGTGTGATCAGCTGAAAGTATTGCTTTGCTGCAGCCCTAGTCTAGGTCTTGGCTTTTTAAATGGCTGTTACTTTGTGCTGTAAAGATCATGGAAATGGGGGGGGGGGGGAATGGGATGGTAAAATAGGATTAAAAGTTGTCAAGTGGTTTATTTAACTCTAGGGGCTCAACTTTTTTTTCTGTCTTCCCTCCAAAATAGTCGTCAGTCCTGCCATGGCCCAAAGCATATTTTAAAATTAGTCAAAGCCAAGTTGGAGCCTACAATCTTAGATTATTTGTGGTATATCTCAACTTGAGAGTGAAATCTTGGTTGAATAAATTGGAAACTATACGGTAGTGAGATGTTTAAAAATGTACTTTCACAGACTTAATGCAGATCCAAGGAGTTGGGAGGTTTTTCCAGCAGCAGCAGCAGCAGTATTTAAATGGTTTATATTATCTCCCTTAGGGGAGAATGGTGCTTTATTTGGATGCAAGTGTGTCATAGAGTCACTGCGTGAGAGCCTACAATATGTTAGGGGCTCTCTGACTGGTGCTGTGTGCCCAGAGATAAGTCTTACATGTTTCTGAGGGTGACCCACCTTTTGGCATCTCTGGGCCACACATTAAATACATTGCGACATGTAATCACAAAAGAAATTTCAAATGTTTTAAGTTTACAGTTTTGTGTTGGGCCGCATTTACAGGCATCCTGGGCCCATGGGGTGGACACCTCTGCTGGGAAAAGGTCAGATCTCACATGGTCTGTGACATTCTGTCGTGCCACACGGAATTACTGTGGTGGGATGGAAATATTTACACTTAAGTTGGTGGCTGAGACTGGGGACCCATTAAATAGCTGGGTTTGATCCTTTTCTAAAAGTGAAATTACGTAAGTAATTTTGTTATCTTCAGTGTGTCTTATAGCAGTCAAAATCGAATTGGTTAACTCCAGCTCTCCTTTTAAAAGAAGACTAGTAACCAAAAATTAAGATACTTCTGGGTCTAGGTAGGTGTATACAGAAACTTCACAACAGGCTTCTAAGGATGGTGGTGTACTCTTGGGTGACAAAATGGTGTTCAAGAATCCATCACAACAGATCTGCTTTTAAAACCTGAAAACTACTGACCTTAAAAGATGTGTGTATATCCAAATCTGCTTACACTAACCTGGATCCTTGGAAGTCTCTGTTATATACGACTGTCAACCCCCATATGCTTCAGAACTTAAAAAAATGCTATTAGGTTAAACAAGGAATAAATCATACCCTAAGCTAAGGTATAATGGCCATTTGGGTAAAATTATAATGTATGGGAAGGATTTCTTTCTGCTTTTCCTCAAGTTTATATTAGATGTCAGAAGACTGCCATCTGGTTTTAGACTAGCTGGAAAGCTAAAACATTCAAAATGGGAAATGAGTCTGAACAGTCAATCCAAAAATACAGGTCCAAAAGTGGAAGTTGGCAAAGATCAAAAGGTTTAAAACACCGTGCTGAGGAGGAGAAAGCAGCTTTGGACACTACTGGTGAGGAATCATTACCTTGCAGGATAGCTGGACAGTACCTTTGATTTCAAAAGTACGTGGCCCGGAGTCCAACTTTCAGCAGGCATCCTACATTATACAAGTACTAGGTGTAGCATTGTTAAGTAATGCGCGCCTGTAGAGCCCCTGCAGCTCCACCAGTACGTCGAACACTACACAGCCATAAAAAGAGGAAGCTCTTTAATAAAAAACCTACAAAATGTTAAGTAAAAGAATCTAATCAAACCGATGGTATGCTGATTATCTCTGAAAGGATATACAAGAGACATTTGGTTGCCTCTTTGAAGAACTTGGGTGGTTGGGGATAGAAGTGGGAGGCAGATCCTTTTGAATTTCAGCCTAAGTTTATAAATTTTAAGTAGAAGGGGATAAACAAGTTTTGGAAAAATGTGGTATCGAGCATTTGCTGTGATTCTTCAAAGAGGAAAGTCATTACTTAAGTCATCACTCTAGCACTTCAGAATCCTGTCTCATTTCACAGACTTAGCCTAAAGAAAGAAAAGGTCATTGGGGATTTAGCCAGTCAGGTCTCAAATGACTAATAGTGGGTTTTCATGGTAAACACAATGAAATAACCAAAGACAACTTCTCACACTGAGTACACACCCTCTAGCCACACTTAGACAATTAGCTAGCAACCCCATGGATCAAATCCTTTCTAAAGCATCTTGGTGACAGACTGAAAAACCAACTTTACCCTTTGTGCCTGTGTTTGCTGGTCCTTTGAGAGCAGTAGTATGAAAATCTCGCATTTGGGTAGCACCTGGAAGTTTTAAGCCAGGAACTTAGCACAACCATTCCATGGGGTTAATGACGCTAGTATTAGTCTCCCATTTTGTTGACATTGAAGAAACTAGGCAAGGTAATGACTGGTGTGTCCCAAATTTGACATCCAGACTGGCCAAGCAAAGCTGGACCCTAGATTGAAAGGGGGCGAGCAGGCCAGATGACAGGAAGGGCTTGAACAGAGAGGGTCAGGCGTGGGAACTTGGAAGGCAAGTCTGGAGAAACCCAAGGTTTGTACGTGGAAGCAGAGAACGATGGGCATGGAGAGGACTGGGAGCAGACCCAGAAGACGAGTGGATTGTTCCAACAGGAGTGACAAATGTTGAACTCCAGGGAGGGAAGGGCCCACGTTCTGCAGTGTAACTAACTGCAGAGCATTTCAGGCAGTTCTATCATAAAGGGCCTCGAGGCATGAGCTGCTTCCATGAACAAACTAAGGCCAAGGATGCCTGTTCTCCCTTTTATACTCGTACACAGAGGCGGACCTTAAAGATCAAGGGTTTGGTTCCAGACCATCATAATCAAGTGGGTATCGTAACAAGGTGAGTCATAATCAATTGCCTTCAATTTGTTAAAATTCTGAGGCACAACAAAACGAGGTCTGCCAGCATTAGAACTATAATTAGACTGCTATCAAGACACAGAAATTACTAATTCTCCCCACTCGGGGATTTCAGGCAATGGTTGGGGAGATGTTTTGTACCCTTCCTAGGACCTCGCGAATTATGCCACTGGTGGTTCTCTGCTGCCCTCATCTTTCAGCCACAAGGGTGTGGCTTGATGGGACAAATTGAACTGGCCTGAAGGGAAGAGTTCCAGTGCGACAGAAGATCTCAGCCCCGGTTCCTCTCCCACTCCCCTTTATGGCAGAAGGTTCCAGTAAGGGTGAGTGACCAGGAGGAGAGGGAGCCCTGCTTCACAAGGCCCTGGCCATTCTGCTCTGAGGAAATGTCAGGAAAAAGCAGAATTCTAGAAAATCCTTGGGTGGCCTTTTACACGCTATGATATTGAGAGAATATTCTGTCCACCTTACTTGCCTTAATTT